CCTGAGGCACAGCGCCCTCAGATGGGTCTGCTGAAGGAAACGAACCCCGTGCAAGCGCGGGCTGCCTGCAGCTGCTTACTCCCTCCTTAGATCCCTCCCGAGTGCAACAGGCAAAGGCTCCCACTCCCGATTTCTGCAACTTTCGGAGGCTGCCAGCATGACTTGAAACCCAGCAAAGCGCCCCAAACCCCGCAACAGCCAACCCCTCATGATGACCGAGGTCATGAAAGTAGCCAGCTACCATTAACGAGCATTCTCTGCATGATCAGGAAGGCGGGATTCGTCTGACCTCCAATGCCAACTATTTCCCAGGCAGCTCTGTCTGCTGCAGCGCTGGCACCCCCTCTCCGCTCCCTGACAGGATCCCTCTCTCTCTCTTCTCAAGAGGGCCCGGGCCGGTGTCCAGCTCAGAGTTCACACCTGGCACCGTGCCCTGCCATTGTCCCACAAACCCACAGGCAAACATTTAATTCTTAGGAAGAGAAATCCTGCCACCCAATGTGCAAAGCATGTCTCAGTGCCACGAGGTCAGTTCTTCCAGGGGCTGCCCTGACCTCGCAAGGCTGTCAGGTGCTTCGGAGCTGCCGTCCCAAGGTGACGACCAGAAAGGACAGAGGGAAAACAACAGAGAAACTCAGCGGCTGCAAGAGGAGCCAGGGTGAACGGCAGAGGGGCCGTGCAGGCTCGCATGGGGGTGAAACAATGGGAGCAGGACAAAGTCCCGGCTGAAGCTCATCATACCTAGCAGCAACAGCACCGAGGCAGCACACCTGGAGCAGAGGTTACGGCCCAGCCCCATGCTCAGTGAGCTGCCCTTTGCCCCCTCCCCTTGCTCCAGCCCCTCAGCCCTGTGCCACGCTGCAGGTGCATGCAAGGCACATCAGGACGGCTGCCATGGAGATGCCCTTCTGTCCCATGTGGTCTGCACGGGCATCAAGTCCCCTCCGGGGGCTGGCTGAACCAGAGGACCAGACAGACTGGGCTGGGCACAGAGGGAGCAGCTGGGCTGGGTGCGCCAAGGGCCCACCCGGCAGCAAGGTGCCCCCCCATAAGGGGACTCCAGAGCCGAGGCCCCCTGCCCCGCAGAGGACACCTGCACCGGCGGCTCCACTCGCCCCCACCGCCCGCACCCCCGGGGACGAGGCAGGGCAGTACCAGCCCAGCGCAGGTGCTGAGGGAGGCGAAGGAGTCGGTGCGGTT